AAAATAAAAACGAAAATTCAAGCTTATAAAGTGATAAAAGAAATTCAGACACTCTGGAGATTTAACCCTGGTCATCAGCGTGAAAATTCCAACGCGCTAACCATTAACCATTCACTTTTTTGCATCACTTCCAGTCACGATCGGAAGTAACGGCGATACAGTATATTCTCACGATTCAATAAACTGACGAGTGAAATGGTCTGTAACTTGGTACTGGAAGTGGATCTCGAAATTTCCTCTCAGATAGATCAAGTTCATGTTACAGCACACTATTCCTGAAAATTTTAATATAAATCCATCCAATAGTCTTGGAGAAATCGCGTGCACAAAATTAGAAAGTCCAAAAAATAAGAATAACTAGATATTTATTGCCTAGGCAGTAACAGGTCTTCTGTTTTCTTGATTCTTTTGTGAATTGGTTTGAAAAAAAAAAAACAGAAAATGAAAAAAAAGTTCTCCCAGCAGGGATCAAACTCAAAACCTTTGGATTATAAGACCGGTGTAAATTAATTGTTTAAGAATAAATAGAAATAAAAGCACGTGTTCTTTTGTTTGTTGTACAATGTAGTAATCAGTATTGAATAGATTGAAAAACACGACTGGTGTATAATGCAAATGCAGATTTTCGGTTTAAAAAAATATTTGAGTTTGTCTATATTTGGAATGCATTGAGTTAATCATTCAGAGCCTATGATGCATTAGAACTTTAGTGTCGAGACTTTGTTTACAAATATATGAAAATATAGGATCGGGTTCGGATGTGACTGAATATCCTGAAATAATAGGTAAGATTAAAATAAGCATCTCTGTGTGGATTGAATTAAATGTAAGTAACATGAATCAAATTTCAGATATGCATTTTAGGAAGAAAAAGGTGTCAATGGGAGCGTGAAAATTTATTTGCTAGGAAAAAATCGCTGTTTTTCGACATTCATTCGATTAATATTAATTATAAATAAAATTGAAATAAATTCCACATACTAGAGAAAGCAAGAATGCTTTGTATTAAAATATCATATCATATCAAGAGAATCGACTGCTATTCATAACAACTGAAGAAATAACCGAGAAAAGCTTTAATTAATTTTTATGTTCATCGGCACCTAAATTTCAGATACGAAAAAAGATGTAGTGTTTACCGTTAACATTCATAATTTCTATATACTTCAGAGATTCACCATCAATTTTTCAGGAAACTTTCTTTCAGGTATCTTCTGCAAAACCCCGAAATTTTATGTCGATCCGAGGTGTTGTATGAGTTCTAGAGAAATATTCTAGGCTGATATTAATCTGACTTTTTTATAAATTTTTTTTGGGAAGGGGAGGGGGGAAAGAGGATTAAAATTAATTATTGATTCTGACCTTTTGGTCAAAGGTCAAGGTCATCAAAGTTCAAGGTCAAAGGTTAAGATCAAATCCCGGAAATAAATTTACTTTCTTATGTTTTTTTTTTTACTTCATCAAGACTGAAATTACTCCAAACAAATAAAATGTTCATTCTACACCTAAATTATTCACAACTGATCATCCCTAAAAGTTTCCATGAAAAACTACTCATGTTTGAAACAACTTCCGGTTTTTAGGCCGGCACTTCCAGTGAAAATGATTTGCATGGTTTTAGTCTATCTAACATCTGCAATAGCCAAACATTTCTCTAAAAAGAAAAAAAAAACTTGGAAAATTCACTTTTTTTCCATCGCTTCCGGTCACGACGGAAACTGACGGCAACGTACGATTTTCACATGATGTAGAAAAACTGGTGACTGACCATCAGTCCTGAAAGTTTTAGACTTCAGTCGTTTACTGGTGCTGAGCAATTAGGTGAATAAAATCTCAATTTGAGGGCAGGAAAATACGCAACCGGAAGTGAATTTTACTAAGATGTTTGACGTCAATTTAGACATCTGCAGTCTCAATAACATATATAAAAATCATTTAAAGAACTCTATCTATAAGCGATATGTATGGAAAAATCCAAAAACTCTATGATGTAGTTTTTCTCTTATAACCGGAAGTTGTTGTTTTTGTTTCGGGTTGGACCAACACATATCAAAACTGTGAAAAAGATACAATTACATGATGCAAGTCTTATTCCAAAAGAGAATAGTTGAAATTTTTGATTTCTTTGATCACTTCTTGTGACGACCGGAAGTGACGACTGACGCTCTTAACCCAAATGGTTTTGTCTACTCCTCAAGGTCTATTACTCATAAAAGTTTGGTGTCAAAATCTCTTACCATTTCTGAGATCTCACTCCGACAATTTTTCATTTTACAGACATCTAAACGCGCGACCGGAAGCGAACTTTACAAAGATATTTGACGTTACTCTAGACATTTGCAGTCTTAATAACATATGTAAAAATCAGTTCAAATACGTTATCTATAAAAAATATTTATGGGAAAGAAAAATACCCAAATTATGTAGTTTTTCTCTTATAACCGGAAGTTTTCGTTTTTGTTTCCGGTGGGACTGACAAATTTGAAACTACAAATGAATGCAATAACGTGATGCAAAAAAAGATTCAAAAAAGAAAAGTTGAAATTTTTTATTTCTATTATCACTTCCTGTGACGACAGGAAGTGACGGCTGATGCTCTTAACCCAAATGGTTTTGCCTACTCCTCAAGATCTATTAACCATAAGAAATTGGTGTCTTAATCTCTTACCGTTTCTGAGATATGACTGGGACAAAATATTTTTGAAAAAAACAGAAATCGGACATATCTGACGATAGGAAGTGAATCTTGAAAAAATGAAAAAAATACCTGGGGGTATTTTTATTCTCTATCATCCCTGAAAATTTCAAGAAAATCCGTCCAGCCATCTCTGAGAAATCGAGGGGACAAGAAAAGGGGAAAAAAAAATAAACAGTACAATCACCATAAGGTCTTCCGACTGAAACGGAAGACCTTAATAAAAAGAAAAAGAAGAAACAGTAGAATCACTATAAATAGGCCTTTAAACTGCCGCTAGGATTCGATGTTAAGAACGATAACTCATTACCGGAACTTGTTTAGAGCAGTTCCGGGGATCTAATTGTTTTTAAGCAAGTCAGTTTTTAGCGTTTTCCAAGTCTTTCTTTGCTGTCAGGAAAATCCAGTGGTTTTAAAATTTAGCACAAATGTGAAACTTACTTACCATGTAGTTACGGACACTGTTTAATTACATATAAGTAAAATTTTAAATTAAAATATAAAGTGAAATCTACCCCCCTTCCAAATTTTAACCTGATTAAATTTTTATACTTGGTCGTTCTTCTTTGTGCTTAGTAACACAAGTAAGATAATTAATTGTTGCATTTACTTGTAGAAATATATATATTTATATAGGGAGCACAAAAATGCACACAAAAAAAACATAACATTATATTTTCTTCTTCATGACAATTGATAAAGAGAGTTAAAAATCTTGAATATAGTCTGTTCCCCATTCATTTGATCCCGTTATTTCAGGTAGAGTGAAGACATTCTCCTTCTTTTGGTCAACACTTTTGTGTACAAAACAAAGTAAGGAACCCTTTTGTGTAAATAACAATACCAACTGAAGCAGCCTATATGTCATTCCTATAAACGATAACTCATAAATCAGCACTTAGTTGTTCAATTTCTACACTTGAGTTACCTGTCCTTAAAACACAACATCGTACAAGTCAATTTTTAATAAATAAACTTTTTAATGATTTAATTTAAGATATGCATAAGTAATTATCTTTTTTGATAATTTCTTATACCTATAAATCTATCTATGAAATGTTTTTTACCATATACGCAACTTGAAAAATTAGTTGAAAGGCCTATTATAAGGTCTTCCGTCTGGAACGGAAGACCTTAAAAAACAATAGAATCACTATAAGGTCTTCCGTCTGAAACGGAAGACCTTAATTAATGCATGTAACACAATGCAATCGTTTGCGGAGGAATAGACCACACCGTCAAGCTATTATCAAGTACAACATTTACCAGAACATATACTATGTTAGTAAATATAATTTTGCTTAGCCGTCCGATTTTCATCGATAACGCTTTCATGTAGTTACCCTGCATATAGATCTATTGCACACAAGTATTCACTGTATAGATTACATGTAGTTTTAAAATAACACAGGTTTCATGAGCGCCGAATACCTTGTTATATACATGTACGTGTCACTTTAAATGGACATAAGAAATGTGAAAAACGTGGAGAAAAGGGAATGTACATGAATCTGATCACCATATCTTACCTCGCATACCAAAAACTGCATGGATGATTTTGTGATAAACACTCAGGAAATAATTAGGACTGTTATATTCCCATACGAAAACATGTTCATGTCAGACTCTAAAAACTGAAAATCTGCCGTATTTATATCAATTTTTTAACACAAATTAAACTTTTGGGATTGCTACCTCGTAGTGACAGATTTTTAATCCAATTTGAATTCATTCTAAGCTTTAAAGTCCTGTTTGTTCACGGTAGAATTGTCATATATACTATATCATTGCTAAATGTGCATAAAGTTTACAATGATGTTGTTCTAAAAAAATCTTTTGAGCAAAAAACTTTAAAACCACGTGTTTTATTTATTTTCTCACAGGTTTGTCTAAATTCCGTTATCTGATTGGTCAGAATGATTCACACCTTGTTTATTCTCTGTATTTATTGCATTTCACGGTTATCGTTCTTCTCTTCCATATTTGGAAATCGTCCAGACCTGATTAAAAACAGTGTTATACATAATAAATTTCATTTGCTTTCTAAGGATTATTAATGATAAGTACTACTACATTTAAAACACTTACAAGTACACGTTATACATTGCTAAACAAGAAAAATAATGTAAATATGTACTTCTGACTAGTAGTTTAAACGTACAAGCACACCTACATGTACATGTGAGCTTCTTAAACCTCTCTATTACCTCCTTATTATGAGTGAAATTTTTTTAATCTTGTCAATAATGAGCCTTTCCGGCTTTCGTACTCATGAACATGAAATCTGAAAATTAAAAAAAATACGTAAAATTTTTCACACATAAAGTAATTTATTTACTTATTTTTACAAAATGTGAAGAAAACTAGGGTTCAAGTTGTGTTTTATCTCTTCAAAGGATACATTTATACATGTACATGATTGTCAGGGTCCATTTTTGAGTAAATTGGCTCATACAATTATCCCTGTGTAGTCTCTGCATGATAGCCTAGGAATGTAAGTTTTATTCCAAAAGAGACACTACAGAATGCAGGAAGATTAGTCTAGTGGATAAACACAATGGTATGTTTCTTTTTTCTTTGGTTTAATTATCACATTACAAACACTTTCTCTGCCTCATCTAATTGGAAAATCTCTCTTGTCCGTGGACAAACAACCCTTCCGTCATTCAGGCGGGCTAAATCAGAAAGAGACTGCAAGAGATAGAGTAAATTAATATTTGATCTTAATAATAAGCTAATTCAGAAAATTTGTGTCCCCCCTTTCATGAAACAAGAGGCCCATGGACCACATTGTTCATATGAGAACATTGGCTAGGAAAAAGCACAAATCAGTTCAGTATTAACAAGAGGCCCAAGGGCCTTGAATCTCTCTTTTGATAAACTGTACAACCTATCACTTCTATTTGAAGCCTCTAAGTATCCTGTATATTTAGATTAATCCTTGAAATTCCAAAGGTAGGTCATCATGACCTACATTTTAGATGAAACACTCTGAGATCCCTAGATGATTCTAAGCCAATTAGTAACTGAGAGTTGGTCATGGTGACCTACTTATCACTTATCATTCTCTGAGGACCCAAGATGCATCAACTAAGTTTGATGATTCTAAGCCAATAAGTACCTAAAATATTTTTAAAATTATAACCATAAATTTAAAAAGTAGGTCACAGTGACCTACTTTTTAGATGACATACTTTGAGGACCCAAGATGCAGCAACTGACAAAGTTTGATGATTCTAAGCCAATAAGTACCTGATATATTTAAATAAACCAGAAAATTTCAATAATAGGTCACGGTGACGCCTACTTTTCAGTCGAACCACTTTGAGGACCAAAGATATATCTACTGACAAATTTTGATAATTCTAAGCCAAATAGTACCTGAAGATATTGAATAAAGCCATAAAATTTCAAAAGCAGGTCAGGGTGACCTATTGTTCAGTTGTTGTACTCCAAGTACCTAAGATGCATCAACTGACAAAGTTTGACGATTCTAAGCAAACTAGTACTCGAAATATTTCATTAAAGCCATAAATTTTCAAAAGTAGGTCACTGTGACCTACTTTTCAGATGACCTACTCCGAAGACCCAAGATGCATCAACTGACAAAGTTTGATGATTCTAAGCCAATTAGTACCTGAAATATTTAATTATAGTCATATAAATTCAAAAGTAGGTCATGGTGACCTACTTTTCAGTTGACGTTTTTGAGGACCCAAGATGCATCAACTTAAAAAGTTTTATGATTATAGGCCTTAAAATGTCCAAATTTTGCCTCTAAATCACTTCGAAATCGAATGCCTGTAAAGTTAAAAAAATAGGTCACTATGACCTACTTTTTAATAAATATGTTTTAAGGCCCCAAGATGCATCATCTTACAAGATTGAATGATTCTTAACCTCTCAGTATTCAAATTAATGACCTTTGAAAAAGATTAGCCATAAAATTCAACAAGAGGCCCATGGGCCACATCGCTCACCTGAGCACAGTGGATAGGCAAAAGCACAAATCAGTTCAGTATTGAAAAGATTCCGGGGGGGGGGGGGGGGGGGGGCTTGAATTTTAAACTACCTGATGATGCTTCCATGTCAAAATAACAAATTGCTTTGTTGTACTTGAGAAGATTTTTAAAAAATTTTCTGATATATTCCTTTGTAAAAATTTGATCCCCCCTTGTGGCTCCTCCCTATCCCAGGGGTCATCATTTGAACAAACTGGAATCTACACTACCTGAGGATGCTTCCATATCAATATGACTAAACATAGCTTTCTGTTCTTGAGAAGAAATATTTTTTTCTATATGTTCTTATGTAACATTCGATCCTCCACTGGGCCCCGTCCTACTCTCGGGGGTCATCATTTGAACAAACTTGAATCTACACTACCTGAAGATGCTTCCATATCAATATGACTAAACATAGCTTTTCTGTTCTTGAGAAGAAATATTTTTTCTATCCCCCTATTTCTATCCCCCTATTGGGCCCCAACCTACCCTCGGGGGTCATCATTTGAACAAAATTGAATTTACACTACCTGATGATGCTTCCATATCAAAATGACTAATCATGGCTTTGCAGTTCTTCATCAGAAGAAATCTTCCTATATATTTTTATTTCAGACTTTGATCCTCCATTGTGGCCCCACCCAACCCCAGGGGGGCAACATCGAACAAACTTGAATCTACACTACCTGAGTATACTTCCACATAAATATGATCAATCAGGGCTTTGCTGTTCTTGAGAAGAAGATTTTTAAAGATTTTTCCTATATATCTCTATGTAAAACTTTGATCCTCCTTTGGGGCCCCACCCTACCCCCAGGGGTCATGATTTGGACATACTTAAATCTAAACTACCTTAGGATGCTTCCATATAAATATGACCAATCATGGCTTTGCTGTTCTTGAGAAGAAGATTTTTAAAGGTTTTTCCCATATATTTCTATGTAAAACTTTGATCCTCCTTTGGGGCCCCGCCCTACCCCCAGGGGTCATGATTTGAACAAACTTGAATCTACACTACCTGAGGATGCTTCCGTATAAATATGACTCATCATGGCTTTGCTGTTCTTGAGGAGAAGATTTTTAAAGATTTTTCCCATATATTTCTATGTAAAACTTTGATCCTCCATTGTGGCCCCGCCCTACCCCCGGGGGTCATGATTTGAACAAAATTGAATTTACACTACCTGAGGATGCTTCCATATAAATATGACTCATCATGGCTTTGCTGTTCTTGAGGAGAAGATTTTTAAAGGTTTTTCCCATATATTTCTATGTAAAACTTTGATCCGCCATTGTGGCCCCGCCCTACCCCCGGGGGTCATGATTTGAACAAAATTGAATTTACACTACCTGAGGATGCTTCCATATAAATATGACTCATCATGGCTTTGCTGTTCTTGAGGAGAAGATTTTTAAAGGTTTTTCCCATATATTTCTATGTAAAACTTTGATCCGCCATTGTGGCCCCGCCCTACCCCCGGGGGTCATGATTTGAACAAACTTGAATCTACACTACCTGAGGATGCTTCCATATAAATATGACTCATCATGGCTTTGCTGTTCTTGAGGAGAAGATTTTTAAAGGTTTTTCCCATATATTTCTATGTAAAACTTTGATCCTCCATTGTGGCCCCGCCCTACCCCCAGGGGTCATGATTTGAACAAAATTGAATTTACACTACCTGAGGATGCTTCCATATAAATATGACTCATCATGGCTTTGCTGTTCTTGAGGAGAAGATTTTTAAAGGTTTTTCCCATATATTTCTATGTAAAACTTTGATCCTCCATTGTGGCCCCGCCCTACCCCCGGGGGTCATGATTTGAACAAACTTGAATCTACACTACCTGAGGATGCTTCCATATAAATATGACTCATCATGGCTTTGCTGTTCTTGAGGAGAAGATTTTTAAAGGTTTTTCCCATATATTTCTATGTAAAACTTTGATCCTCCATTGTGGCCCCGCCCTACCCCCGGGGGTCATGATTTGAACAAACTTGAATCTACACTACCTGAGGATGCTTCCATATAAATATGACTCATCATGGCTTTGCTGTTCTTGAGGAGAAGATTTTTAAAGGTTTTTCCCATATATTTCTATGTAAAACTTTGATCCGCCATTGTGGCCCCGCCCTACCCCCGGGGGTCGTGATTTGAACAAATTTGAATCTACACTACCTGAGGATGCTTCCATATAAATATGACTCATCATGGCTTTGCTGTTCTTGAGAAGAAGATTTTTAAAGGTTTTTCCCCATATATTTCTATGTAAAACTTTGATCCTCCATTGTGGCCCCGCCCTACCCCCAGGGGTCATGATTTGAACAAACCTGAATCTACACTACCTGAGGATGCCTCCACATGAGTTTCATCTTCCCTGGCTTTGTGGTTCTTGAGAAGAAGATTTTTAAAAGATGCTATTAATTTTTCACTAATTCTTTATTATCTCCCCTTGAAAGAGGGTGTGGCCCTTCATTTGAACAAACTTGAATCCCCTTCACCCAAGGATACTTTGTGGCAAGTTTGGTTGAAATTGGCCCAGTGGTTCTTGAGAAGAAGTCGAAAATGTGAAAAGTTTACAGACAGACGGACGGACAGACGGACTACAGACAAAATGTGATCAGAAAAGCTCACTTGAGCCTTCGGCTCAGGTGAGCTAAAAAGTAGGTCAAGGTGACCTACCGTTTAGTCGACGTATTCTGAGGACCCAAGATACATCAATTGACAAAGTTTCATGATCATAGGCCTTAAATTATTCAAAATATGCCTCTAAATCATTTTGAAAAAGAATGGCCGCAAAATTTAAAAAGTAGGTCACCATGACCTACTTTTGAGTCATCATAATATGAAGTCCTAAGATGCATCAACTGACAAGATTTGATGATCCTAGTCTTTATAGTAAGCAAAATATCAACATTTATGTAATTTTTGGTCAACTTTGAAGTGAACTTGACACCACGCCCTTTGCCCAGGGCAATTCCCTGTGCAAATTTAAATCTACAATATATCCTCATCCTTTTGTGAAAGTTTGATGATAATCTGCCCAGTGGTTCTTGAGAAGAAGTTATTTCAGCAACCAGTACTTTTGTTTCTATTTTCCTAATTATCTCCCCTTGTTTAAGGGTCACAGCCCTAGTTTTAGTATAAATGGGAGCCCTTGGGCCAAGAATACCCTGTGACAAATTTGACAATAATTGGCCAAGGGTTCTTCAGTTATGGCCCATTTTCTAAAAAGTTTACGCACACTGCACAATTGGCCATAGCATTAGCTCTTTGAGCCCTTAATTCAGAAGAGCTAAAAAGGTTCCATTGGAAAGGGGTGTGTGTGCTTGAAGTTTAACTACCTGAGGATGTTCCATATCAATATAACACATGGCCTTGCTGTTCTTGGGCAGATTTCTTCCTATATATTCCAATGTAAAATTTTGATCCACCATTTTGGCCACACCCTACCCCTTGGGGTTATTTAAAAAAAACTTGGATCCACTCTACCTGAGGATTCCCCCATATCAAAATGACTAAACATGGCTTTGCTGTTCTTGAGAATAAAATTTCAAAGTTTTTACCTATATATTCCCATATAAAACTTTGATCCCCCATTATGGCCCAACCCTATCCCAGGAAGTCATCATTTGAACAAACTTGAATCAACACTAACTGAGAATGCTTCCATATCAATATGAGA